TTTTGAGACAGAGTCTTATTCTGTCACCCAGGCTGGAGTACAGTGGCGCAATGTCAGCTCACTGCAACCTTTCCCTCTCAGGTTCAAGCAATTCTCCTACCTCAGCCTCCCGAGTAGCTGGGATTACAGACGTGTGCCACCACACCCAGCTAATTTCTGTATTCTTAGTAGAAGAACACAACATTAGCCAGGCTGGACTCGAACTCCTGACCTCAAATGATCCACCCACCTCTGACTCCCAAAATGCAGGGATTACAGGTGTGAGCCACCATGCCCAGCCTTAAATTGTATTTTCAGTTGTTTAAGAGCAACTGCCGATTCCACAATTAGTCTTTTTTAGACACTATCCTCAATATCTAGTTAATTATTACAACTTTTACACTTACATTTAATCCTCTAAAGAATTCCTTAATTGACTCTTCTGTCACATCATAGGGTAGGTTCCCTAGAAAAGCAGTGTAGGGTGGCGATTTGGGAAGACGGCTCCGGTCGATATTGGGTTCCCGAGCAGCCCGTGGAGCAGTGGGAAGGATGGAACGGTCAATTGGAGGCGCCCTGTACACATCGTCGTCATTACTGTGCCACGTTGTTGAAACATCTCCTTCCAGGTCATCCGTTTCATCAGCCCAGCTGACTGGTTTGGAAACATAGGTGCTTCCTCCACCAGTACCCCCATTCTCAGCCAGAAAGTCTGTTAGGGAGATAGTCTTCCCCTTCTTATTCTTCTTTTTTGCTGAGGCTGCCATGTTGGGAGAGGGAAAGAGAACGCAAAAAAAAGCTCGCCTGGTATTTTTTGTGCTCCACCTGTGGAGATATTTTTACCAAGGAGCCCCTTATATCAAGAATGATGTTTAGAAATGAAGATTTGGGCTCCAGAAGCAATGGCATCTTACTATTAGATGCCACTGCTTCCAGGACTTCTGGTACACAGAGCTAGGAAATATAATTTTTTAAAAATTGAGTTTATAATGATATTTCCAAATAAAATTTAATTTTAAAATTTTAACATTTTATTTTTAAATTTATTTTTTAATATTTAAGGAGCATTTATTTTTTCCTGTGAACTATTCATTCATGTATTTTGCCTACTTTCCTACCAGATTTGGCTTTTTCTTCTTTAAGAACTCCTTACATATTAGGGATATTAACTCTTTGCCTGTTAAATAAATTGCAAATATTTTTTCACCCAGTTTTTTATTTGTAATATCTGGCCCAGGTTCAGCTGCCTGGAGCTAACTTTTGAAAGAGGGCTCCTTATTCACATAGGCAAAACTACAAGGAGAGGAAAATGAAGCTCCTGTTTTCCAGGTGTCAGGCACTGTTCTGGGTGCTTCGTGAACATTCTTTACTTGTACCTTGTGACAAATCTTTGAACATTATTCCTTATCTAAACCCCACATGGTTAAAATGTTTTAGAAGTCAGAATTTTTCAGTTTTTAGAAAGGTCATATGGTACATAGAACCATCTCTACTCCCCTAGCAGGACCTGGGGCAGCATCCTGAAATCATATACATAAATATTTCTATAGTAAAATATATTAGTCTTCCCATTATTTAAGATAAATAAAGACTCTAGTTAGTTTCACCTCCTGTCAGGTCAGGCTTTGCTGCCAAACGAGATATGAAAAACGCTTTAGATTGTCAGAGCTTTTCAGCTCTGAAAATCAAATGGAATTGTGGATAAGAGATAGTGGGCTTCTATTAACCTTGCTTTATAAGCAAGGAAAGGAATATTTTTTTAATCAAATAAACATTCTGACTTTTACCCTTCTTTTCTTTTTTTCTTTCTTTTGTAAGGAAAGAAGGAGGGAGCAAACTTGAGGATTAAAGTGAGCCCCATGAAAACTACAGTATTTCTCTACTTCCCATCCCACCACCTCCCTGGAGCCAGGGTGAGATTGAGAGAGGTAGCCCCTCCAGCAGCCTTTCAAACAATATTTTTTATACACTGCTTCAAAACTTACTTGAACTGTTTGCTACCTAGGGGATGTTCTGTGTGGGAAATGTGTGAGGGGGAAAGAAAAGACACACACAGATACTTTTAAGGGTAAACAACCTTTATCCCACGTGAATAGCCATGCAAATATAATAAGCAAATCATATAATAAGCAAATTGCAATAGGAAGGGAAGAAGGGAAAAGAGATATATATATATATATTTTTTTTTACACTCACCAGACTATGGAGGATTCATCACCAGACTGGGAAGCAACAGTCTGGGCTCCAGGGTCAGCCATTCATCCATGCACAGACAACTAGAGGTCTCATGAAGCTTCAGTGCAATCTGGGACCCTATCTCTTTTTGTAAGGAGTTGTTTGGCATGGGGCCAAGTCATGAGGGCCCTTCGTGACTGGGCTCAAGGAACACAGAAAGGTCAACTTGTTTTTGCAATTGTCTGTTGTTTTTCAGTAACTAATGTACAGAAACAGATTTCTCCTAAACCGTACTGGACGAATGCCTCAAGGGGCTCATGCAACCTGCTCCGGGACTTGGTGACTATTGTTTGTGTTCACGTTCAATTGAGTTCAAATTTAACATTTAACTTTCCCTCCACAGGGGAGGAATAGAAAGAAAGACACAGAGGACAGTGCTCAGCCTCTTCTCGACATTTCAAGCAATTCTGCTCAGACCCTAAACTTGCATGCCTCTCTGAGACAGAAGGTAAACTTTGCAGTTGATCTGACTCATCTTCCTTAGTGGGGTGGTCAGAAACTATCTGCTTTTTAAAAAATTTCATTTATTTATTTATTTATTTATTTATTTAGAGATGGAATCTCACTCTGTTGCCTAGGCTGAAGTGCCGTGGTGTGATCATGGCTCACTGCAGCCTTGAATTCCTGGGCTTCAGCAATACTCCTACCTCAGCCTCCTGAGTAGTTGGGGCTACAGGTGCATGCCACCATACCTGGCTAATTTTTTCTATTTTTTGTAGACACAGGGTCTCACTGTGTTGCCTAGGCTGGTCTCAAATTCCTGGACTCAAGTGATCTGCCTGCCTCAGCCTCACGAAGTGTTGCAATTACAGGCATGAGCCACAACACTCCACTTAAACTACCTGCCTTTACTCAAATGTGTCTTTTACGAGGTTCTTACATAGTATTTTTAATTACTTTCAGCTACATATCACAGTCTCTCAGAGAGGAATTCTTCCTCTTCTTCTTATTATTATTATTTGAGATAGAGTTTCCCTCTGGTACCCAGGCTGGAGCACAGCAGCATGATCTCCGCTCACTGCAACCTCTGCCTCCCAGGTTCAAACAATTCTCCTGCCTCAGTCTCTTGAGCAGCTGGGATTACAGGTGTGTACCACCATGTCCAGCTAATTTTTCATATTTTTAGTAGAGATGTGATTTCACTATGTTGGTCAGGCTGGTCTCAAACTCCTGACCTAAAGTGATCCACCTGTCTCAGCCTCCCAAAGTGGTTGGATTACAGGTGTGAGCCATGGCACCCAGACCCCTCAGAGAGGAATCATAATACTACTTTGTCCTTTGTCTCATTCTATTTCTGGTTGCATTTACAGAGTATGTTCCAGGCAAGTATGCTGTGGGCTCCAGTCTGTAATGGTGAAATAGTTCCTGATTTGAGGATTTATCTTGCTTTATTACCTCCATTTATCTAGCTTCTAGGGCCTCCTTCCCTTCTGTGGGGGTTTTACCATCTTTTTACTTTGGTTCTTTATGCTCTATCTCCTTTTTCCATCAAAACCAACTTATATTTTTCCATGGTGCCTCAGGGCACTACTGAAAATCTAGTAAGTGATTTCTTGATAGACAGGAATGAGTTTTCCTTTAAATATTAAATAATACAAAAAACTGGATTAATGAGACATTTTCCCAGAGTTTTGATCTGTTAAAATAATACACCTTAACTCAAGTTCTCTAATGGGGGGCAGGTGTTTTAATCAACACCAGGTAGATGGAAGGCCTGCATACTGAGAAGTTTTTATTGCATAATTCACACAGCACCCCATGATATTACCTCTTCCCCAAAGAGCTGTCACATGAAATCCACTGTTTTGGGTTTTAAAAAGCAGCTCCTGTTTTCAGCTTTTTTTTTTTTTTTTGAGACAGAGTACACTCTGTCACCCAAGCTGGAGTGCAGTAGCACAATCTCAGCTCACTGAAAGCTCCCTCCTTTCAGTGAGGGAAGCCCTCCCTCCTGGTTCAAGCCGATTCTCCTGCCTCAGCCTCCTGAGTATGTGGGGATTACAGGCGCGCTGGAGCAGACCCAGCTAATTTTTATTTGTATTTTTTAGTAGAGAATAGGATTTAGCCATGTTGGCCAGGCTGGTCTTGAACTCCTGCTTAAGTGATCCGCCCCACTCAGCCTCCCAGAGTGCTAGGATTACAGGCGTGAGCCACTGCACCCTGGACAGTTTTCCAACATATTTGATAGCTAAAAGGAAGAATATCTTTACTTTGTACTAAGCTCTTAAAAATCAATGAAAAAATAATACAAAAAACTATACAAAATACAAAAATAGAGAAAGACAAACATTCAGATTTTAAAATGAGAAAAGGACCAATAAACAAAAGAAGAAAATCAATCTACTAGTAACTAATATTGTGAAAATGGGCCATACTAGCCAAGGTAATTTATAGAATCCAATGCCATCCCCCATCAAACCTACCAAATGACTTTCTTCACAGAATTGGAAAAAACTACTTTAAAGTTCATATGGAACCAAAAAAAGAGCCCACATTGCCAAGACGATCCTAAGCCAAAAGAACAAAGCTGGAGGCATCATGCTACTTGACTTCAAACTATACTACAAGGCTACAATTACCAAAACAGCATGTACTGGTACCAAAAACAGAGATATAGACCAATGGAACAGAATAGAGCCCTAGGAAATAATACCACACATCTACAACCATCTGATCTTTGACAAACCTGACCAAAAACCAATAAATGGGGAAAAGATTCCCTATTTAATAAATGTTGCTGGGAAAACTGGCTAGGCCCATATGTAGAAAGCTGAAACTGGATCCCTTCCTTATACCTATACAAAAATTAATTCAAGATGGATCAAAGACTTAAATGTTAGACCTAAAACCATAAAAACCCCTACAAGAAAGCCTAGGCAATACCATTCCAGGCCATAGGCATGGGCCAAGGCTTCATGACTAAACCACCCAAAAGCAATGGCAACAAAAGCCAAAATTTGACAAATGAGATCTAATTAAACCTAAAGCAGCTTCTGCAAGAGCAAAAGAAACTACCATCCAGAGTGAAACAGGCAAATCCTACGAATGGGAGAAAATTTTTACAATCTACCCATCTGACAAAGGCTAATATCCAGAATCTACAAAGAACTTAAACAAATTTACAAGAAAAAATCAACCCGCATCCAAAAAGTGGGCGAAAGTATGTGAACAGAGCACTTCTTAAAAGAAGACATTTATGCAGCCAATAGACACGCGTGAAAAAAATGCTCAGCATCACTGGCCCATCACAGGAATGCAAATCAAAACCACAATGAGATACCACCTCACACCAGTTTAGAATGGCGATCATTCTAAG